TTACAACCATATTTATAAATATCTATAATTATTCAGTTGGGTAATTAAGTCATTAACTGAAATTTTGGAAACTCACAAAGAAGCACATATGAACACTTAAAAATGTTTAAACTTATAATTGTCAAGTTTATAATTTATAATTGTTAAAAAATTGTCAAGTTCATCAGATTCAAACGAAATGTGCTGTACCCGAGTGTACGCGCGTGGAAACAGTGGAGCGAGAATGGTGTCCGATGGTATAGTTCGCGCGGATGCCTTGCCAAAGGCGACAAGGGACGTACTCTGACTAAATTGCCGCTGTTACTTCTGGGATGTCTCATTTTTACTTAGCTCGCGACGTCCGTTGGGACCAGTCATTTCCGTCTTCGAAGCGGAACAACACGACATCGAGTAATTTTTGCATGTCCCGCCACCAAGCTTGACTGTTACGCTCAAAGCTTTCACCTTCTTCTCTCAAATATTTATCATTTCTTTTTTCCTGCGTTATAAATGCCTTAACTGCACTACCAGCAACTTGTAATTCATAACGGAAATTTGCAACCGTGGTAATCGAATAATTTATGAAAGGAAACCAGGAATCGGAAAACGACGTTAATGATATGCGCTAATTAACATACACGTCCATCTAAAAAATTCTCCGTCTAAATGTTTAAAATAATTATCCGCATTTTTATCCCTTAATGAGCTGTCAGTCGTTATGAAATTTTATTTTCTTTTATATAAAATATTCTGACTAAATTATGCATAATTCGTTTCCTTCAAAAGGTCATATTATTGTACTTGTACTTTTCGTATTATATTTTATACTTGGAATATTTCTTGTTAAAAAAGACTATCTTGTTAAAAACGATTCATCATGGTTCTAAAATACGTGTCCCATTATTTGATCAACCTCGTTTGTGATTCATAAAGAAATGACAAAGAGGGTGCCGGTGAAAGGTACGATTTCAATCTTGAAGTTGTGAAAATTGTATTTACAATGCGTGGTTTTGGTATCGCAGTCTTCGTTTCATCGATCAGTTTTCCCCTATAAGATACTTATCAAGGTATGCAATATTGATAAAGCGATTCGTCCTGCTCTTTGGATTTACGAACAACAGGGGACCTCGAACGAGATCGATATCTCACGTGTAATGTGCACGGTGGCATGCTCGTTCGAACGTAGTAAAGCACGAAGCGAGCCGAATGTTGCAGCGTTTGGTAAATCGAGGTCGCATTCTGCGAGCAGGAAAATTCTCTCTCTATCTCCGCTTGTGCAACAATCGCTTTTCCCTGTCATCTTCACTGCGTATCAGTGTTTCGAGTACGCGAACATTTTGACTTCGCATATCACGCGGAGGAAATATTTGAAAAATCTCGCGGCGACATGTTGGAACTTTAGGGTCGAGGGGGTTGGCAGGACGAGGATTTGATTCGGATACATTTGGGGACTCAGAGACTATTTTTTCTTTGAGGCTTTGGGACTTTGATGCAACAAATCTGACTCATATTTTCACCACGAGTTTCAAATTTAATTTCAATTCCCATCCACTAATGATCCACATCTTTAATATCACTTGATATCTCTGATATCGCCATATCTATAATCAAATATCCTTCATCTTAACATTCGAATTAAATCATTCTGACTTGCCAACAAAATGGTTAAGCAATTAAGATTCTGAAATTTTGATATTTGAGGGTTGTAGAAGTCCAAGACAGATTGTCAGACTATCACAATATTACGTCCATGTGGGCAAAGGACCAGATATATTAAGTTAGCTGCGGTGTTCGAGAACGGACTGGAAGTTGGTTTCGTCAGATGATATGATTTCAAAGTAACGGGAATCTCGGTGCTGTGAAGTCTCGCTGTTGAATCTAGCAATGGGAATAGTTCGTCGTAAGGGTATAAGCTTTTGTGGGATAGCGTGAACTGTGAGCTAAACGTTCCTAACTCCTGTTACTAGTAACTAGTAATTAAGCGAGGCGCTGCTGTGTGAAACGAGCTACCCTCTGTTCCTCCCACCTTTCAACCCTCCCAAGTGTAAGGGAGTCAACCGTTCGTGTCCATGAATTTCGCGCTTGTTAAGTAAACATGCTCATCGACTAACTTTTTCCCCCTCACCGAAAAGTTTTATCGAAACAATCGCTGCTGGAAAGCATTGTATGGGGTGCGTTTGCCTGGTTTCTATGGGTCACTCTGACTTTTAACGGCGCCATCAAACGTCCCGTGTCGAGATCGTATCGAAGCTTTAAAAACGATGCATTCTAAGTAATTACGCTTTTACCTGCTCTTTCATTAACGCTTTGATTAAATTACACAGGGGTTCTCTATTTATACACTATTTTAATATGTAATTGCTCACTTAACATACAAGATAATATAACCTCTACCGTTTTGGTAACCTTCTTTGATTAAATTATAGTTCGCAAGGGTTCTCAATAATTTTTAAACTAAATATGTTTGAATATATTCAGTAATATGTCTGAATACGTTAATAGCTTGCTAAAGATATTTTAATCAGGTAACATAACCTATACTCCTTCGGTAACACTTCTTTGATTAAATTATGGTTCGCAGGGGTTCTTAATAATTTTTAAACTAAATATGTTTGAATATATTCAGTAATATGTCTGAATACGTTAATAGCTTATTAAAGATATTTTAATAAGTTACGATAACCTATATTCTTTCATCAACGTTTCTTTTATTAAATTGTCTGACAGAGGTTCTCAATAATTTTTAAATTAAACGAATTTTAATCCTCACTAATACTGTTCACATTTGTTAAAAATTGATTTTTTAAAATTCGGTCCAAGGTATTTATCAGGATGGTACCTAGAATGCAGATTTAACGTGAAACCCTAAACTAAAGAATTTAGCTATTTAAGAGGAGTTTCGGTGCGCGAATAGATTCGAACATAAATTGTAATATAATCCACGCAAGATATAACAGCCGTTTTCCCGTGGCTCCGATATTAATAACGTCTTAATTGGAAATTAGACCATGACACAGGTGTTCAACCTTGTTTTCAACGAATACAGGTTAGATTGTATATATCACCGATCTTAATTTGCGCGATTAATTGTTGTGTTCGTGAAAGGAAATATTAAAGGGTATTATAATTCATTATTCGCTGTTGCATTAATGAATATCTAACACGAACGCATAATTTACTCGATGGTGCCTGGCCGTTCACGAATTATCGGGTTACAATGATTTTTGGGTTAACAATTCTAATTTAAAACGAAATTAGATCGCGCAATGTCCGAACCGAATAACGTGACTACGTTATATATGAAGAGGGGCGTACACGAAAATTTGCAAGCGAGCCTTATTCCGTCACGAGAATGATTTAAAGCGCATCGATTAAAGGATCGTATAAATTGTCTTCCTTAAATCAGCTTTACTAACTTTTAATCGCCTCGAGTACCGTGCTGAATAACAATTTATAGTTTCCAATAGTCTACAATCATTAAATCATTGTAATTCAATCATTCTTTAAATTATTGCCAAAAGAGGTGTATTGTCCATCCTGTACGAATAAAATTTTAGGGTATTTTAATACAATTTTTACTACGTTCTGTTTACTATGTTCTATGTCATACTAATTTGTATAAAAATTAGCGGAGAACAAGTTATATTTAACATAATCGCATTTTCAATTTACAAGAAATTGATGTAATAATTCATCATTTTGTTTCCTTTAGTGAATCAGTAAAAATAAATGTTTATCGAAATAACAAAGTGCTTTGAAATTTATATATCGACTTCTACCATAATAATTGTTCATCATTTTTGTAAACGATTACAACAAAAATAATTATCATTATTTCTAATAATTTACGATTTACTGATGACTGCATTTACTTCGAAGCTTAAAAGTATTTAATTTTTACTTCAAAAGTGATGAAATACCTCGATTAAAATCATCCTACTAAATCTGATATATAAAGTGGATTTTTTGAAAATGATATAAATTTTCATATACCCGTAATGATTAACGATATGCATCAGAAATATATTTCACCCTTCAGCGTACTATAAATTCGTTTCTGCGAAACTGATAATTTGATTCATACTTTTTGCCCGCGCATCAGAAACATGTATAAATAGACAGCGGATATTTATGCATTTATGACATATCGACGTCCGCGAACATAAATCGTATAATCTACAAACTCACAAATTGCATGATTTATTTATACAGACCTCGAAATATTACAGTATAACTCTTAAGTATCATAGTGTGGTCAGCTTTAATCCTTTAGAAAATAAATCCACTTTTTCTACTCAAAGCTGAAATACATTATGCAAGATCCAATTTGTTTTTTATGGAAGAAAAGAATATAATTCTTTATCGTAAGAGTTCATTTATATTTCGACAAATTTCTTATTAATTTTTCGTTATTTGGAATGAGAAAGATCTCATACATTTAGTATGTTGTCAAGGTGATTTTTAACAATTTTTTTCTATATTTGCTTGAGAAATTATAATTCTAAACAGTGATGAGAAATTCACATAGTTATCTATAAGATTCAAGAGTAATAAAGCATGGAAGGGATGAAATGTCGCTGCGAGAATAGGGGTGGGAGGCATCAATTGATGAATATAATCGAGTGATTTATGCTCAAGAAGTCACAATTCTAAGATGACAGTGAAATTCACACAGTTATCTATAAGATTCAAGAGTAGTAGAGTACGAAAGGGGTGAAATATCACTGGAAGACATCAATCGAAGAATACGATCAACGAACAATTCATCATGCTCGAGAAGTCACAATTCTAAACAGTGATGATAGAGAAATTCACATGGTTAGGTATAAGATTCAGGTGTAGTGGAGCATGGAAGGGGTGGAATATCGCTGCGAGAATGGGGTGGGAGGCTCCTGCGGTGAAACGGTTCGCCGGACGACCGTCGTAGGGGCGCTGCGACCCATCAGGACGTCAGTTCGCTTTCGTACCGCGCCGTGGTCGGATCTCACCCTATAGTTGTCACGAACGTGCACGTACACGTATACACGCGCTTCTTGCAAAACTACCTCGAAGTGGGAACAATAATAACGACGAATCGTCGTGTTTACCTTTAGGAATTCCCGGATGAGTCAGTCGCATGATCGGTGTTGACCACGTTCCGTTCGTTTCGAATGTTTGGGTGACACGAATTCTAAGAATTTCTACGCGGGTGTTTCGACAGTATCGGAGATGGTTCAAAGTGAGTCGCGCGACGGGGTTGCGAAGTATTAACACAGTGTGCGAAAACGATCTGTGATTCGCTCGAGTGATTCTTGTGGTGGTCTCACGGATAACACTTGTTGGAAGACGGTTATTTGTAAGAGGAAACACTTAACAAAAGAAGATTACGGGCGGCTCCGCGCGCGGACTTTGCGCCCTTACGTCCGTAAATCAGCTACGATCGATAGATCGCGATACATATTGGAATGTCCGTGAAAGAACGTCGAATATGCGACACACGGGTGCACGATTAATCGTCGCGGGTACGTGCAACGGTCGTGGTTCGCTATCAAGAGGGTTTCAATTAAATCTCCCGCGGGGAAGGTCAAGTGCGCCGTGTGAGCGACATTCAGTTTTCAGTTTTAATTAAAACACCCTCACGGGATTCGTATTACCGCGCTTGTGTTCGAAATTAATTAGCCACGACACGGACAGTTACGGCGGCAAGTGAGCAAATCAGTGACGAGAGGGAAGATCGGTTGATGTTGTTCGACGGAGGAATTAGACGGAAGTGTCGTTCGGTGATTCGATATATCGATCACGACGAAATCGTTCGGCATAGAAGAAAATAGCGACGCTGCCGGTGTGTGACATCGCGTGTGCGACAGCTTAAAGAGGAAGCTCGATCAGATTTTTGTTAAACGTTTACTCGCGAGTGACAAATTGTGCCGTTGCGTGCGAAAGGGGAACGCCAGTTCCAGAGGGAGATAGAGGCGATAGGAAAAGTGGGAGAAAAAGTGAGCAGCTTATCGGTCGTCGTAGCATCCACGGCGAAGGGATGAAAGCGGCGTAGCAACGGCAATAGGTAAGACGTACTATCGCATCTTTCTTTTCTACGAGGCTCGATGCCAGAGAATCAATGGCGGGACATTCATTGCCAATTTCTTTTCGCTTCGATAGATATGATGCGTCAAACTTGATCGGATATGGCGCTCGATATTTCCATTTCGAAACTCCACTTTTTAAATCTTTTTTTATCAAATTATACTTTAGGGATACTTAACACATTTACGGAACCTGTCAAAATGACGGATCTTAGGCTTCTTAGGTTTTGTCAAAATATACGATAACCTTTATCAAGATAGAGTATAAACTACTTTATGTATCATTACCTATTTATTTTTATAGCGTCGTTTCGATTTAAATATAAGTGGTCGTTAAACGTCTACAAACGTTTACGTATAAATCTAGGGGTACTCTGGCAGGTGACATTTTTCGTTTTTTTTTTAATTCAGCCTTGAAAATTCCAAATATTTTAATAACGTTGAGTAAGAATATTCTACTTGAATAATTTTCCATAGCAACCTATCTAAAAATTCAAATACTACAATAATTTTGAATTTCATTCTAGTACTCTTTTCAAATATTTTAAATCAGGTATTTGTTAGAATACATTCAAGTATTTGTTTCATATTTATATTCACATGTATAGATCTTCATTGGTAATCAACTAGTTTTAGACTTTTTTGGTAATCAGCTAGTTTTAGGCTTAGTTTTAGACTTTTTTTAAGACTATTATTCGAAGTTTAATTTGGAGTGAAGTGCTACGTGAATTATTACGTTTGTGGAAGGATTGTCGATTTCTATTCTTGGCCGAATATGGCACCAGAATGACGCGCGATATTTGGTAATAGCTTAACTTCGTGATTCAAAACATTTCGAGTAGGCGTGACAAAAGGTTACTTATACAAATTTAGATTTAACTTTCCGTCCACCTTACGCTATTTTATTCTTACTTTTAATAGACGAACTTCACTCCTCAAGAATAAAAATGACATTCAGTTTCCTTCAATGTCATTTACTTTTACATTCTCGTGCTTTTACCGAAATACTTATTAGAATGGACAATCTTCAATCCACAGTAGAAACAGTCATATCTAGCATGACGTGCTGTAATATAAATTATTATTGTTATTAACAAATAATTTTATACCCTTCAGTTTACTATTCAAAATTATTAGTATGATTTTACAATTAAGTTTAACTTTACTTTATGTAAGACGTAATGTGTTGACATTTATAATAATTCTTATATTTGAACATTTACCATAATATACTTATAATAAATTTCGGTTAATAATAGTATAAATTTAGAAATGACCTATTTAAATCGTGACATATCGAATTTTTGCTTCATTAAACACTAAATTATAATAAATCTTCACAAAGTGAATTTCACTTTGACCCCTAATTTCGTTTAGCAAAATTAGCCGGGTTCAATTGTATTAACTTAAATAATGTATACGATAATTGCCGAATAAAGTAGAGAGAGTGGTAGAATGGTGCAACAGAGAGAAATGATACATTGTTAATTGGAGAGGATTAGCAATAAATGCACGATGAACACGACACAAATACGTTGGTACACAATTTCGTGGGCAAAGTTGCGGTATCGTTCGTTAAATAAAACTGAAGCAGCTTGTTTTATCGTGTGCCCCGTTCATCCGAGAGATTAGCTGTCGATTACCGTAGCTACGAATTGTGTTAGTTATTAAACGACGGTTAAAAACCGAAATTCGTTTAATTTAACGGACCGAGCAAAAAACACGAAATTACCGCGCACTAATTACGAATATCGCGGTCGTTCTTCGCTAGGAACGTGGCAGACCCTAGATTATGCTGGCTGTTTACTCGCTACGCTAAGGTAATTTAACTTTTCCTTCTAAATTATGGAAACGCGTGCCACCGTAAAAACGTTGTAAGCGCTATGGAGTCGTAACGTGGATCGTAGAATTTTTTCGGTACACCTTTCGTAATCACGTTAATTTTTTACTATCTGAAACGGTTACACATATTTTCTTATATGTCAACCATTACATGTCGACTCCAATATTTTTCGAACTGCATTTAAAAAGTATTAAATTACTGAAGGAGTGGTAGGGGGTTGTAAATATTCTCAAAATAATCGGTCAGTTTTCTTGAAGATAAAATTATTTTTCATTCAGATGGACAAGTTCATTCATTTTTACTCTTGCAAAGATATTAAATTGCTGAAAGAGGGTGTAATAAATATTTTTACAGTAACTGGTCAGTTTTCTTCCAAATAAAATTATTGTCTATTATGATGTTTTATAAACTGTCAAACTTAATATAATTGTTCATATAATTGAATGTACCTACATATTACAAAAAGTGTCACAAATTACATATCACATATGTTACATATTACAAATGTCACAGATAATGTTGCAAGACAAAATAAATATTACAAATATTGTTATAAGCAATTACAAATTTCAGAAATAATATTATAAGATATAACAAATATTACAAATATTGTCACAAGCCACTACAAATGTCACAAATAATATTATAAAATATAACAAACATTCCAAATATTGTTACAAGCCATTACAAATGTTACAATACATAAACGTTACAAACAGTGTCAGATTTCGTACCACAAAATGTCTGCCGCACCTCCACGACAAAAGTAGTACTAGCTGAAAGTTCGAAGTTTGCAGAAAATAACTATGTGAAGTATAAACGTGTTGAATACGAATTAGTTCCAAGAAAACAGTTCCAACTTTATTTTGAAGTTTGTCTGCTCATTTCATTCATCAATTTTAAGCAATTATAATTGATGAGGCGGTATAATTACGAGGCAGACATATTGCTGCTGGCAGTTTAGCTCGCTCGCATTTCATTGAAAGTTTAACAAGTTAACGATACGCCGCACAAAGGCTCGGCGTAGGCAGCTGCAGTATGAAACATTTTGGTTTGTTCAGGATTAATTTCATACGTTTCTGCCCTCGGTTAATGATCTTTTTCAGATTCGCGGAATTTTGTAATTTATAACTGAAAAACATGCACCCGGGTAAAATTCGTTCCCTTTTTTTCACGGCGATGCAGGGATGTTTCGTTTGGTGGAATTGTACAGCGAAAGGGTTTCATATCCTGCGGTGAATATATCGTCTTATTTTTAGCAATGTTATTTCATGCTGGTTGCGCCCTGGTTAAATTATGGTTGATATCATTATCACAAGAAATACGAAATTTTGCGGCTTTTATTTTTACTCGAAAACTGAGTTAAGCATCCTTGTATTAACCGTGTTCGTTTCCTTTCGTGCACGAGTTTCTTGTGCACGCGCGAGAGAGAAACTTCTTTTATCTACTTTTGTATTTCAATTCGACGTTGAAGCACGCGAATAACTCGGATTCTTTTCTTGAAGAACGTCAACAAACGTATTACCGTCGCGAATAATACTCCGTTGTAATATTCTAAAAGCACCGGATTGAATTACTTTAATCACAAATAGCGTTTACCCTCTTTTCGTGTAACTTCACAGTCGAATTTTTATACGTTCAAAGGAATCCCGTGAAAAGCAACCTGGTCCGGTCGTTGAAAAATCTCAACACTTTTGTCCAGCTCCGGCTTCAATGAATTGCACCTTTTATCGCCTCGCGATAAAATACCTGCTTGGTGTTCTATTAATCATCCACTCGAAACATTGGAACCATATTACACGAAATCAAGATAGGATTCAGAGAGGTATTTTAATTATGTAACGGAGATTATTGTACGGGCAACGAGTATCTGGATATCAAATTTTATATTCCGTTTTAACGGTTTCATATTTGTGCGAAAATACCGCTTTTTCTCCAAACATTAATTTGCATTTTTGAAGCGAAAATTTATTCTGGAGATTTTATGTATGAAAAACTCGATGTTAGTTCGGGATGGAATATTCGTTGTACATGGCTTCAGAATTTTTTAGTTTGGACGTTGGGGGTTTTAAATATTTTTTAGCCTTTTGAGAGGTTTTTATCTTTGCTATGTTGAGATATTGGAATTTTGAGCAGAAGTTTGGAACGTAGGAATTGCTGGATGTTCGAATTTTGAGACAAGTGAAATTTGGGATGTAGAGATTTTGGGGCGTTGGAATTTCGGGACGTGAAATTTTCTAGATATTAGAAATTTTAGATGGCGGAATTTCGGGACGTTAAAATGTCGGACGTAGAAATTTCGGAACATTGGAATTTCGGGACGTTCGAATTTCGGAACGTTGGAATTTTAGGACGTTGGAATTTCGGGACGTTTGAATTTTGAGATGTTGGAATTTCGGGGCGCTAGAATTTTAGAACGTTGGAATTTTGGGATGTTGGTATTTTAGGACGTTGAGATTTTGGGGCGTTAAAATTTTGGGACGTGAAATTTTCTGCATATTAGAAATTCCAGAATTTCGGGATGTTAAAATATCGGATGTAGGAATTTCAGAACGTAAGAATTTCGGGATGTTGGAATTTTGGCACGTAGGAGAATCGGGACGTAGGTGAACTGGGACGTAGGAGAAGTGGGGCGTAGGAGTATCATGACGTAGAAATTTTGGGACGTAGGAGTATTATGACGTAGGAATTTCGGGACGTAGGAGTATCGAAACCTGAGAGTTTCGGGACGTAGGAGTATCGAAACCTGAGAGTTTCGGGACATAGGAGTACCGGGACGTAGGTGCATCAGGATGTAGGTGTATCCGGATGTAGGTGTATCCGGACGTAGGTGTATCACGACGTAGGAATTTTGGGACATAAATAACGAAACGTGAGAGCTTACAAATATTGGAATATTAGGAGATTGATATTTCTGAACATTGCAATATTAAAGTGAAAAAATTTCAGGATGTAGGAATATCGGGTCGTAGGAATTTCGGGACGTTCAAACTGTAAAACATTGCAATTTTACAGTAATAGAATTTAGAACCATTGTAATTTCAGGAGGCTGAAAATTTCAAGACATTAGTACCATGATTCGCTCCGAAATTTCAAAATTTCTCGAGCTTGCAATCCTAATGTTTAAACTTTACGATATCGTAATTTTAGAACTTTGAAATTTCAGTAATTTGGAACTTTCATGCTCCGCAACTTTGAAACTACGAAATTTCTAGAATTTTGAAATTTTATTTCAGGTAATTGGTATAAAAGTAATCATTTAGTTGATTTTCTACCAAGCAACTCTTAGTTAAGACATGTACAAAAGCTTTTACTTAGCCTTTCTCAGCAAACTTCCACTTCCATTTATCATTTAACCACCATATTATATTCTTAACATTTTTTGATACTTTATGAAAGTTTCAAACTTAATATCATAGCTAATGTATTATAAGTAAACTTTCACGTTGATTAAACTTGACTCATTTATACGTTGACTAACGCGTTGACAGTAGTAGTAGACGTTTGTTGTCAGACACATCATAACAGATTATTAAAAACAAGGACATTTAATTTCTCAGCTTCATCTTTTAATTTTTTGCTATGTATCTTAACATCAAGAGTGAAAATAAAATTCATAAAATTATGTAAATAATTAAATGTACCTGAGTTTGCAACGTGGGTCACATAGGACTATTATGGCGATGTGCCATGATGTTATATGTATATAAATCATGTTATTATCAAATCAAACGTCCAACGTTTTGAAAATAACTATAAACAAAAATAAAATTTTAAATAAATATAAAATCATAAGAAAAGCTTTTGGTAAAGCAGATCGATGATCAGAAATCAGTGTCTGTTCCGGGGTTCGTTAATTGCGCGAAGGAGTCGACAGTTCGTCAAAGTTCCAATGAAAGTAACACACGAAAGGATGGCTATGTGACGTTGTCGCAAAGCGGAATTTCGGGTTTTCGTGGCACACGGTGCACGACGGGTATATATGTATAAAGTCCGTGCACAACCGGTGCATAAAGTAAAAGCGAAGCCGGATGAAAGGAGCCGAGAACTAGCGGGAAACGTGCGTCTGAAGGGTTGGTTGAGTTGTGTGCAGGTTGCGAAAGTAGTCGAGACGGATAGAGTGATAGCTTTCCTCTCTCCTTCGCCCTTTTCTGTAACTCTTTCTCTTCATTTTTTTTTCTAGTCTCTTGCTCTCTATTCCTCTCTCTTCTTTTTCTAATTCCATGTTTCTATTTTCTCTTTCCTAACATTTTCTCTTTATTTTCCTTTACCATTGTACTCTCTCTCTGATGCTATTTCTAACTCTTTGTCTTCCCGTCTACACCCCGTCGCCGACGTTCTCGTCAAAGAGATCTCTTTCTCTCTCTTAGCGCGCGTTTTCAACCAGAGAGTCGCGTGTGATTTGAATAAATGGACCGCGTGACGACCGGGGGCGGAACAGAAGGACTCAAGGGGATGCACGAGGACATCTACCATTTTCGTTGAAGGAACGGATCCATCCTTAAACCAACGCTATCTGGCTTGTGACGAACGAGAAGCTTTGCGGAATCGCGAGGGTGCGAAGGGATAAGATACTATCGAAACCCCTCTGCGTTAACTGCAAGAACTCCTGCAACGGTTCAGAACAATCGTTTGAAAAACACCAATCGTTATTACACTGCTAACGTGTTAATTTCTGCGATTACGTCACAAGGTTTCGATCAGAAGATGGAGAATCTTTCTAATTGCCTATGTCGTTTTTTGTTTTATATTCCTTATCATTGTTCCAAAATTAACATTTGTGTGAAATTAACATTAACATTGTAATATTTTAACTTTATATGTTTTAATATTGCAGCTGAGATTAGTTCTGACACATCTGACATATAAGGCAAGGGATCTTTGATCGAATTAATAAGTAAACATTTAATGCCTAAATCATAAACATCATAAAATTTTAACTTTATTTGCTTTAATATTGCAGCTAAGATTAGTTCTGAGACATATGACAAAGGCAAGGGGTTTTTGATTGAATTAATAAGTAAAGGTTTCTACCTTACGGTAGAAACAAAAGACAGTAGAATTCTCGCGCGGTTCCCGCTCGGCACCGTTCGAGTGCCTTCGTTGGCTTTCGTGACCGCGTCGCGCAGTTCGCGCGCGGGACTACTTCTCCAATCGCGCGTTTAAGAATGTCTAAATGAGAAACATCGTGACAGTTCAACTATATCTGTTTCAATATCGTAGCTATGATTAATTCTGACACATCTGACATAAAAGGCAAGAGGTTTTCGATTGAATTAGTAAGTACAGGTAGAAACGCTAGAAGAAAGCGGTAGAAACAAAAGACAGTCCAATTCTCGCGCGGTTCCCGCGAAACTCGTTCGGTAACGCTCGGGTGTCTCCGGCGGTCTTCGTGTCCGCGCCGCGCAGTCCGCTGGGACTACTTCTTCATTCGCGTTTATAACGTCTAAACGAAAAATATCGTAACAGTTTAATTATATCTGTTTTAATATTATAACTACGATTAATTCTGACACATCTGGCACAGAAAGCAAGCGGTTAATGAGTGAATTAGTAAGTAAACATTAAATGTCTGAAAAACATCGTAGAAGTTTTACTTTATCTGTTTGAATATTGTTGCTATGTTCTGACACGTTTGACACAAGGCAAGAGGTCTTTGAATTAATAAGCAAACATGTAGTGTCTAAATGAAAATGAATAATACTGAATAAATACTTGACGTGTTAATAAATATTGAATGTACGTTATTTCAGGTAGTTCCAACCCCTCATAGAGGCACATATTATGTGAGGTGAAATCTCAACGAGGGAAACGAAGATGTCCGCCGTCAGCGTGGCTGCATGGCTGCTCAGCGCCGTTGCCTTCGCCGCAATTAATAACGGTGAGTCCTAAAATAAAACAATGATCACGCAAATTAGCAATCAAGCGCGTAAGCGATATTGTTAACGAACTCCGACGTTATTTACGAAATTTTTTGTTCCCTTTGAAATCTTTTCGATCGTGACTCTTTGTTCCGTTTCATTCACAACGCGTTCATTCTTCTTTAGTACTGTACCATATCTTTTGTTACACGTTAAAAAATATTACTTGCTGGTTTTAATTGAAAGCGAGCATGCAAATGATACGTTTCAGTGCGCCATTTAAAATCTGAATTGCACTGTGCAAACGGAAACAACGGCGGTTATCAGACACCGATAATACCCGTATGATACGCGGAAATTTTGCGACGGTATTTTCGATTGCGATTCTCAGTTCATTAATTAGTTTCCTCTTTCGTGGAACACGATTGTTCGTTAACGAATAGCCGAAAGGCCGTTTTGATAAACGCATAATTAAAACCAGGGGACGTGTCTGGTCATTGCATAAGCATCGGAAGTTCACCCGAGAAGTCTTTCGTATTCAATTTAAATTCGAGAATGACTGTTTCGAGTCGCTAACGAACTTTCGACTTCTTTCCCTTTTCTTGCGCTCACTTCGACAAAACCGAGTGAAAGGAAGGACGTTGACATTTCGAATGCAAGGCGGCAATTAGCGATAACGTTGTTACAGCAAAGTGATTTTCACCTGGTTACAGGCTTCCGCTCTAGAAACGGCAAGTAAAGCTAATTCTTGCCGATAACTTGGCTAATCTGAGTTAACCCGAGTCCGAATTTTAATCCGTTTATTGCACCCATACTCTTAACGGTTGTAATCAGTTAGTGGACGGGTCCAGGGAGAACTCTTATGAAGATTTCGAATTTTTATATTTTAATACTTTTAAATTGTCAGGATTTTATATTCAGAAACTTTCGTGCTCTGAAGTTCTTAGATTTTCAACTTTTGAAGATCGGAAATTTTCAAATTCTTACATTTTTAAGATTTGAAATTTTTTAATTCACCAGTTTTCAGGTTCCTAAATTCTTATATTCTGAACCTTGGAAGATTTCAAGTTTTTAAATTCTCACATTTTTAAGATTTGAAATTTTGTAATTTTCAAACTCTCAAGTTTTTGAATTTTTTAATTCACAAGCTTTTAGGTTCTTAAATTCTTACATTTTGAACTTTGGAAGATTTCGAGTTTTTAAATTTTTACATTTTTAAAATTTGAAATTTTTTAATTTTCAATCTCAAGTTTTGAAATTTTTTAATTCTCAAACTTCCTGGTTTTCAAGTATTTAAAATCTCAAATTTTTTAATTCTTATATTGTCAAATTTTCAAATTGTTAATTTTTTCATGTCTTCGTTTTCAAATTTTTAAATCAAGTTTTTAGGTTTTGAATTTTCACATTTTCAAATTTTATCTTAAACTATCAAATATGGAAAAATTGACGTTTTTGAATTTTCAAACGTTCAAGTTTCCAAATAAAAATATTTCTCTAATACTGAAATTCATGAATTTCCTAGTTTTCAATTTTTCTAGTTTGAAAATTTAAATTTTCCAAAATTTATAATAAAATTTTCATTAAAAATTTCAATTTTTCACCCACTAAAATTTAGTTGCTTACAACTACACAATTTAACCAAGTATATGTTTTTAATACATATCGTATATAACATACACGTATCGTTTAACCATTTTCTTTATCTATTTGTTTATCTATCTCGTTACTGGATATACAAATTTAATATCTGTCATTAATCAATCCTTTTAAAAGACTATAAAAAAAACTAGATATCAGATTAGCTAATTAATCTCCAAGCATGTATTTGCAATTGTAATTTCACACAGAAGATATGATTTATTAAAGTCTGAATTCCGAGATATTTAAAATATATCCATTTAAATTAATCCTTTCACAAGAGATACTAAATTAGGTCATATTGTAAAAACTGCACAAATTCCATTTATAACATTGTCTATACGAATAATTCAAGTATTTCCACATTCTCGCTTAAACATACAAATTTTAAAATAACCTTAATAAAAGGTATTAATTTATAAAATTTTCATTTTATTAAACAGTGCGTTAATAATAGAAACCATTATTTTCTTTTCATACAACGTTTCGGCCTTTTATTCAGTTTCTCTTACACGTACACTTTTTATGACGTATATCACCCTAATGTACGTAATTATAACAAATATCGTGTTTTCGTCGACAAGTAAAATGTTAAGATAAAAGTTTACGCATAATGCGGCATACAAGTGTAATACATTAATGATATTAATTTTGTAGTATGACAATGGCACAGAATAAATACAAGTATACATTAAACAACGCATGTTTTATAGTTAATAGTAGACATGCTTGTAATGTAAAACAAACTTGTTGTTGAAGAAAATGATAGTGTAAATAGGATGTTAAATTGCAAAATTAAAATTGCTTCATTTTATATTTGTTTGGCAAAATAGAATTTTAGATGTTTTTTTTTTATTTTAATTATGGGACTCAATATTGTGACGCACCCGTGACGCACATTGCAAGATGTGTCAATTTAAGTATAGTCGCATTTGGGATTTGGAGATATGGGAATTTTGGGATTTGGAAATATGGAAATTTGTGGATTTAAGGATTTGGAGATTTTGAGATTTGGAAGTTTGAGAATTTGGGAATTTGGAAATTGGGGGTTTGGGGGTTTGGAAATTAGGGGTTTGGGGATTTTGGAATTTGGGAATTTGGGAATTTGGGAATTTGGGAATTTGAGAATTTGGGAATTTGGGAATTTGGGGATGTAGGAATTAAGAATTTAGGATTTAGGAATTTAGGTATTGGGGATTTAGGAAGTGGGGAATTCAGGAATTGGGGATTTAGGTATTGGGGATTTAGGAATTGGGGATTTAGGAAGTGGGGAATTCAGGAATTGGGGATTCAGGAATTGGAGATTTAGAAATTGGAAATTTAGGAATTTGAGAATTTGAGAATTTGGGGATTTGGAAATTTTGAACTTTAGGAATTGGGAATTTTGGAATAGAGAGTTTAGGAATTTGTAAATTTGATAATTTTTGAATTTTAAAATATGAAAGTATGGAAATATGAAAATTTGAAAATTAATTAATTTAACTTAACCTAACCCAACTTCGTATTAGTTCGTATTTTTTTCTAAATTGGACTTGAGGTGCAATTTGAACTCTAATCTGTTCAAAGTTGCCTGAATGCACAATGTATCCAACATATTAACTTTTCCTATTTTCCTTAACAGTCCAGCCAGAATTCATCAGTAAATGACGACATAGAAATTTTAAGCTAGGTAACTGTTTTTCGACCACCCTAAAGATTAAATACCAATATCGACAATCCTTCGTATATTCAACTAAAAAAATAGCGTTACCCACAAATATTAAAACTATATTCTTCTATTTATTAGAACTATATTTAACTCTTCATAGCTAAACATTGCTACGTTGCAACGGAATATTCGATTCTCGCGAGGGCAGTTTGTCGGACGTCTAATTTAATTGTCTCGGAAGCCAATTGATATTGGGTCACGATTACAACGGGAAATTATACGTCTCTCTTTCCTAGCTCTTATCGCGTTCTGATGGCAGAGTCACGAAGAAGTTCGATCTGCAATTCAAATATTTAGGCTTGACCCAGAACAAACGAACGCCTTTTTTCCCCGGTGAATTCTTTCTACAGGTTCCGTGATCCGATACCGGTCAGAATAATTTCCTCGATGGCTACCTGTTTGACCCTGATCATTCCCAACGAATCGTCGAAACTCTCTCGACACTGGAATTTCGTGCTCTTGCATATGCAGCGGCTCGTTTGTTGGGTGCTGCACCCCTGTGAATGAGGCGCGACACACAATGATCCCCGAATCAAAGTGAGCTCGCTTATTTGACGATACGCGTATGCACGCGTTCGAGCGTGATCGTTTGATCCTTCGTCAGGGTGGAAATGTAAATACATCCGAGCAATGTTAACAGAATATGTTTGAAGTTTATCAAACAGCCGACGTGGTCTCGTAATTAATGCGTTACGCCGATACCTTTCGATTAATTGTTCCTTTCGTTTATCGAATATCAATGTTTGCATATCGAATTACTTTCCTGTTTATTTACTTGCAAGTTTAAATAAGTCAAAGTTGTAATAAGTTATAATTACAAGTTATTATTGATTTTAGGTTAGGTTAAGTTAGGTATGCACCATGTTGCATATCGAATGACTTAATCTTCCCTGTTTATTTACGTACAAGTCTAAATAAGTCAAAGTTGTAATAAGTTATCATTACAAGTTATTATTGATAAATTTAGGTTAGGTTTTTGTATTTGAATTTTTAAATTTCTGAACAATTTTACAAAATCTTAAAAAACTACATTTACAATTTTATAAAAATTGTTCCTAATTTCCAAATATCCAAAAATACTTTTACAAATACTTTTTATAAAAGTATTGTTTTTCAACAAGACAGTATTAATATTTCATTAATGCTGATACTACAAAATTTTGTTCATTGTAGAACCCGTGATGTTCTGATACATAATATTAACGAAGAGAAAATACAGGCTCATAATTTACCTTATTAACTTCCCTTATAATTTAGTAGCTACATTTAAATTTCATATAGTTCGAATATATTTTATCGCCTGAAACTTGCCTCCCCATGCAAATATACGTGCCTGCTCTTCGACTTATCAGTCTATAATTATCAAGGGTAAAATATTAACCCTTTGCACTTGAAGGTACTTTTTCTTGGACTTAATAAATTCTTTCGAAGTTATTATTTCTGTGCTATTAATATTCTCCGTTACACACTTGACATTTAGTTACAAATTGTGTTAAATCTAACAGTAAGCGAAATAATGAACCCTTTTGTAGGGTAACAGTAAGGGTAACAGTACCTCTAAAACGTTCATACACTTCATATCGACCACAAACGTTATTTTGTAACGTTCACGTCATCTACCCCATCTGCCCCCTCGAAAATTCGATTTCGATACCAATCCGAAAAATAGATTCC